TTGTAAGTGCTCCAGGTTCCCTTTGCTATTGAATGATTGAGAATTATGGCTAGGCTGGTTTTCATTCCTAGAGGTAGGTTTAGGTGGTTCAGTTCAGCGCTCGAGAAAAGCCCAGCTTTGCTGTATTTGAAGCCCTGTACTTCCTTGAGAACAATTCCTGAAATAGGAATGTTTGTTATTCTAGAGCTCCACTAGAACTCTGAGTCCATAAAGATAGTTCTTGGTTTCAAGTTAACTCTTGTGTTCACTTAGATAATTCCAGAGTTACGATGTAACTCAGTTCGCTGAAATAAATCCTGAGTTCCAATATAACTCTGAGTTCACTGAGATATTTCCAGAGTTCCCCTATAACTCTTGGGAGTGGAGATGAGATTCAGAGTTCCAATATAACTCCGAGTTCACTGATATAGTTCCAGAGTTCCAATATAACTTTGGGTGAGGTGATTAAATTTTGAGTTCCAATATAACTCAAAAAACATTGACGGAGTTCCAAAGTTCCAATATAACTTTGGGTTCCATAAAAAGAGCTCAGGGTTCCATTATAACTCTGAGCCAAAGAAGAAACAGAGTTCCATTATAACTCTGAGTTCCACATTATAAAAAGCTGAGAAATAGTAAACTGAACAGAGTTCCGAATAGAAGTAGTAATGTAGAGGGAGAAAAGTTTAATATTAAATAAGAAAGAAAAAAAAAAGGTTAAAAAAAAAAAAAAACCTTAAAAGAAAGGAAACAGAGTTCCAGTACAACTTTGTGAGCACCAAAAAGATAGAGTTCCAGTATAACTCTGAGTATAACAAAATAAACTCTGAGAAACAATACTTTAAACAGGTTTCGCATAAAAGTAGCAATATAGAGGGAAAAATAATTAGATTTTAAAAAGAAGAAAGAATTAATTAAAATATAAAGATAGAAAAAAGACTAGGAGTGGGAGAGGGAATTCAAGTTAGAGAGAGCATAAAAACCTAGCCATGACAAGTTATAACTAAGATATTAACATTAAAGGGACCAAAAAGAAAGAAAAGGAGACGCCCAAAAAAAAAACCAAACTAGAGGAGGGAAAAAATGGGGGGGAAGGGGAACCAATAGGTAGCAAAAACCCCCTATAAACCCCAGTCCTAGGAGGTACCAAATAAAAGAGGGAAAGAGGCCTAAGAAAAAAGGGGGGGGGACAACTGGACTTACCCTGAGGAGGAGGGGAGGAGGAACGAGGAGCAGGCCAAAGCGTAGGAGGGGGGGTTGCATCTAGACCCCTAGCCCCTTCCTCATCTAACGAAAGCCATCTTGTTAGGAGGTGATCTCCAGTTCTTACAGATTCAGGCAGAACTCCGGTCCTCATGATGGAGGCAATTTTAGAGGAGAGGTCCTTGGTAGAGAGGTTCTCGTTCACAGGTAGGGACGGGGAGGACGGGATCAGCAGGGGGAATAAGGGGCAGCCATACTTGATTTTCTTAGACGCAGTAAGGGGAAACAGAGGGATTTGACAATCATAGATTAAAATCCCCGGCCATTTAGGGTTGGAGTAGAGAGCATGGGAACGCAGGTCTTCAATGGAGCAAGGGAAAATGAGGATATAGACTCTTATCCAGTTAGTAGTAGAGGGGTATGCAAAAGCCCGAAGGCAGAAATCGCCCAGGTTGGCTTTCTCAAGATCTTCTTCCGAGGGGGGGGTGGCGATTCTAGCATCATTAAATTGAAAGGAGTGGGCGAGGGCAATATCTTCAATATAGTCGCTAGCTAGGGAGTTAGGGAAAGAAAACATTTCCGCGGTAGAGAGAGGTAGGGAGAGGGAGATATATTCTGCTGCGTCTGGCCAAATCTTTTTGGCCGGGACAACATAAGGGGATTCTAGAAGGTCTCCCATAAGGAAAAAAGATCCTCTGGAGACGGAAGAGTTATCCGAGCCTAGCCAAAGGGCTATACCTCCTATCACTTTCCCATTCCAACCAAAGGAGGTTAGAGTAGGTTTAGCTGCCGGGCCTAGCCCGTTAGTTACGAGGGAGGTGAGGATGTTATTAGGGATAGGGTCGGAGCCTGAGAAAACTTGACCTCCAATAAGTCTTTGTTTAGACTTTCTCATAATGCTGAAAAAGAGAAAAGAGTAAGGGTATTAATCAAAAAATTTAGTAAAATCTTGTTTAAGAAAATATTCAAAAATAAAAGCAGGTTCCGATAGCACATAACCGTTTGCAAGCTTCTCATTGAGAAAAGGTTTAAGAAAAAGTAATATATAGATAATTAAAAATAAAAAAGCTCTAATACTAAGAACTAATTAAATAAGATATAAGAAAAAAGTAAGTGGTAAATCGAGATACAGTATAAAGTTCCACGTGAAATTAAGAAAGTTCTGGAAAAAACCAGAACCCGGAATTATTGTAAAATAAATTGTGTAAAACATATGTGTTACACCAACAGAATCAGAAGGTAGACTGAAGATACTACCTGAGAACCGGCCCAACTAGGGCCGCAGTACGCAACAGCTGACAGTACACCTGCTCTGTACCGGGCCGGGGAAGCGTACAACAGCTCTAACCCCCCTACACCCAGGGGCACCGGGGGCCTAGAATAAGATTTTTATTTTATATAAAAATATATCCCCCTGTAGTAAGTGCTAAAGATTGTCAAAGAATGTTCAGAATGGGATTAAAATAATGTTAACTTCATATTTATGAAAACGCCAGGAAAATCTTGATTTTTAGAACCTACTAGGCAGATTAAATAGCATGCCCGTCGTCCAACATTAAGTACACCAGAATTATTTTATTTTTCAATTGTTGTGTCCTATTTTTGTTATTGAATTTTGTTTAGAAACAATTCCACTCTGAGGTCTGGAGAATTCAGTCTCAGTAAATCAGGTAAAAACTAATTATGTTTAAAATAAACTTCTCATACACTTTTATATGATAAAAACAGTACCTTGCTTTTGGGTGTCCTCTAAAAAGTGTTTTTGAATTTTGAATTTATTTTTTATTTTTTATTGTCCAGGAACCTACAACTGTGATGCTCCTTTAATCCTGGTCAAATCCATCTTCAAGGAAACCAGATATTATCAGAATTTATTTTTCACTTTTTTGTGTCTACTTCATTTTTTTGTTGGTGTTTCTGCACTTTTTTCGTGTCTACTTTACCTTTGTTTGTGTCTACCTAACTTTTTTTGTGTCTACCTAACTTTTTTTCTGTCTACGTTACCTTTTTTGTTTCTATGTAACCTTTTTTGTGTCTACCTAACCTTTTTTTGTTTCTACCTAACCTTTTTTGTGTCTACTTCACCTTATTTGTGTCTACTTCACCTTATTTGTGTCTACTTCACCTTATTTGTGTCTTCTTCACCTTATTTGTGTCTAATTCACCTTATTTGTGTCAACTTCACCTTATTTGTGTCTAATTCACCTTATTTGTGTCTACTTCACCTTATTTGTATCTTGTATTTATTGAGCTTTTCTAGTTTTAAAAAGAAAATTTTATTTATGATTATTATTAGTTTTGACAATTTGAAAAACTGGATGAATCTTAAATCATTAACTCAAAACTTTCCTTTGATACTTTTTTACATTTTTTTCTTTGTATAATTGTCAATTTTCTGGTATTGGATTAGGCGATGAAACGACTGGAACCCAATCCTGATTTTGTAGTCTGGACCGGAGATAACGGACCACATGTGGAGTAAGTTTTTAATCAAACTCATCATGTCTTAAACATCAGTCAAAAAATGTCATGCTTAAATAAAATGTAGATTTAAATTCACGAGACTTTCCATGTATATCATGGCTGGTCCGACTGATCATTTTCAATTTTGGTTCTCTGTAAAAGGGACATTTTGATTTATGCAAAAGAAGACAGATGGAAATTTCAGAATTCCACAGTTTTCCCGATTAAAAAACGACAATATTATTCATCATTGTGTGTAGCTCAAATAAAGATTTAAGGGTACTGAAGGGAATTGAATTGTACTTACTACTTCCCCTCGCTTGAAATAAGTAACAGTCCCTTAATTTATGTTTTTGTTTTGAACAATGTTGAGGTCTCAGCCCTGACTTCCACGGAATGATGGTTGATTGTTTGTTTGTTTGACAACATTTTGCAACGATAAAAGCATTTTCTTAATTTCTTCTTTTTGTTCAGTGACCCGTCTCCTAACTATCCGTATATAACAAACGTGACAAGTTTTGTTTTCTCTGAACTGAAAAGAATGTTTGGAGATATTCCTGTCATCCCTGCTCTAGGAAATTATTCAATAATAACAATTTAAAAAATTTAAATACAGTGGTCGGCAATCATAGCAATACAATGAAGACGACTTTTCTAATTATGTTTGTATCTATAAACTTTTTTTCAAATTACAAGTGAACTAAAGAAAGCTGCTAAATGACAGCTTCTTTTGTTTCCATGTTTATGTGTATTTAAGCTGTTTTAACGCTTAGAAGATAAAGATAAATCAAAAGACGTCTTCATTGTATTGATAAAGACGAGGATTCACGATCAAAATTATTTGAAAACTATGAAAATGAATTTTAATGTTTTTATTCAGACTTAATTATTAACTTTTCAAGAAAAATTACATGTTTTGTTGTTGATACTCTTGTGAACCAAATCTCAAACTTTTAATGGTAGAGATTGCCAAAAGGATGCTTCGTTTAATCTTTCAATTGGTGGATAGCAAGTTTAACTCAGCAAACTAGACTTAAGTAACATAGCTCAGTCTATTCAAAAGTTACCATCTCCGTTTTAAAATAAATCTATTGTTGAAAAATATTAATCCAGGGAATCATGATTCATACCCAGCTGATTCCTACAATCAAGATTCTGATCAATATAATCTTTATTATGATCAAGGAGGGTTCAAGGATCATGTAGGTAAGATACTGATCAATATAATCTTTATTATGATCAAGGAGGGTTCAAGGATCATGTAGGTAAGATACTGATCAATATAATCTTTATTATGATCAAGGAGGATTCAAGGATCATGTAGGTAAGATACTAATCTTTATTATGATCAAGGAGGGTTCAGGGATCATTTAGGTAAGATACTGATCAATATAATCTTTATTATGATCAAGGAGGGTTCAAGGATCATGATGGTAAGATACTGATCAATACAGTCTTTATTATGATCAATCGGTTATCTCAGTTTTATTCATTTTGATCTTGTGAATCTGAGACCGGATTTAATGAATTTTTGCCAGGTCTAGAGACAATTCAACTACGTATCTTGAATTAGTGTTTAAAGATTTGTTTATCTTCTACAGATGTAAATTCCACTGCTGCACCACATTAAAGTATTTGAATCGGCAGATGGCAATTCATCGACCTAACTCAAAATCATTAATTTCGGTCCATGATTATATTTTATTTTATCTAATATTATGATTTTTTAGGAGGGGGTGCGAGCAAAGATACTTTCCTAAAATGTGGATACTATACAAAGACAATCAATGTTATGGTAATTTAAACTATTCTTCAAAATACACGTAGAGTAATTAAAACATAATAATTGCAGGGAAACTTTTATTAAAAGGGTTGGGAAGTTAAGTGCTGAGAAAACTGCTATCTTAATCGAAATATTGGTTTAACTGCTTGTTCTGTGTCTTCTATTTGTAAAATGTCCAAACTCTTATTGAACAAAAAAAGGAATACGACTGAACAAAAATTCTAATTGTTCATGTAAACGGAAGTAGAGAAAGGGAAGTCTATCTAATGGTCAATGAACCCCTTTTGTGCATGATTTGATGTGATCTGTTCAAAAAAAGAAGATTCATAATGTTACTGTTGATATTTCAAAATATTTTAATTAGAATATTTTCTCTGAAATGAATGAATGATTGAAAGGATAAATGAATAAATGAATGAATGAATGAAAGGATGAATGAATGAATGAATGAATGAATGAATGAATGAATGATTGAATGAATGAATGAATGAATGAATAGGATGATTGAAAGGATGAATGAATGAATGAATGAATGAATGAAAGGATGAATGAATGAATAAATGAATGAATGATGAATGAATGAATGAATGAATGAAATGATGAATGAAATGATGAATGAAATGATGAATGAAATGATGAATGAAATGATGAATTAATTTATTAATTAATTAAAGGATGAATGAATGAATGAATGAATGAATGAATGAATGAATGAATGAATGAATGAATGAATGAATGAATGAATGAATGAATGAATGAAAGGATGAAAGGATGAAAGGATGAAAGGATGAATGAATGAATGAATGAATGAATGAATGAATGAATGAATGAATGAAATGATGAATGAAATGATGAATGAAATGATGAATGAAATGATGAATGAAATGATGAATTAATTTATTAATTAATTAAAGGATGAATTAAAGGAAGGATGAATGAATATTAAGGAATTGATTGATTGATTGATTGATTGATTGATTGATTGATTGATTGATTGATTGATTGATTGATTGATTGATTGATTAGGAAAATGCGCTGAAGTTTATAGTTCTGAACACTAATCTCTACTACAACAACATAGTCAACTTCACAGGAAACTTTTTCAACAATTACTTCAATAAATCTCGATATATGTAGAGAAACAAATTATTTATTTATTTAAGAGAACAAGAAGAAAGCTAAATGAATAGATTTTGCTGTCATCAAACCCACAGATTAAAGAGGATTTAGATTATTTCCAATTCAATTTTAAAATCTCGACTTTTTCTAGTTGCGAGAGTGAACCCCTTTAAGGACATGAAGTATAGTCTATGCTATATTTCAGACTCTATTATCAGCTCTCCACGCTATCTAAACAACTAAATTCTACATATTTCTCTTCATCCTTTGAGAAATGTGCAGAATTGAAAGCTTGTGCGGGTTAACTGTTTTTGATAAGGATTTTATCTTCGAAATCAAGGGGGAGGGGTGGGTGTATCAAGGGGGAGGGGTGGGAGCATAATAAAATCAATTAAAACATGTTTTTGATAAATTAGTGTGTACACATATTTTACTTGGTTTTCTAAACTCTATTGAGAATTGTTGGATTTGTAGATTCTGACCCCTGTGATCAAATATCTTGGTTAAACCAAACTCTGACAGATACCCTGGAGAATGAGAAGGAAAAATATTCAAAAAAAAATGTGAAATTTGTCTTAAAGCTTTTTTTTGTTTAATGTTGAAAATTCAAAAAATACAATTTTAACACTTATAATAACAATGTGTTATGTAATTTAATTCCAAGTTGAAAGATATCCTGTACAAATTGAATATTTTGTGGGTGTACAGGTGTACATAGTAGCTCATGTACCGCCTGGTGTGTACGAAAGAACTCCGAATATTAATTTCTTCAATACTCCAAAAGATGGGATTGGAGAGCAGATAGGTTGGTTCAAATTCAATATAAATATATTTTGTATTTTTATATGTTAGGTATATATCCATATTCTATATCTATGAATGAATGTCACACGTATGTGCGTCATACTACTCCTCAATAGCGTGCTAAAGGGACTGTAAGCGTAATTTCAAGTGACACATAATGCAATTTAGGTTTTAAATTAGTTATTTCTGATAATTCATCTTACGTTTTCCTGCAGATGTTTCAGGAGAAATGCACAAGTCACTTCAGTAGAAATACCCACATTTGAAAAAAATCCGTTTTCTTTAATTAGAAACATTGATATCTAATTCATTCTTCAGCAGACAAAACCTTCAAAACCTTTAAGGGTACCGTTGTGAATCGGGTAATGTCATCTTTACATGGAGGGTAGCTTGAAATTACACTTACAGTTCCTTGAAGTGCGTTTACAATGTGCGTTCTTATCATATTAGAGCATCCTTATTAGTTCTACTTCATTAGTTCTACATTATCAATATGTCCAATGTCCGCATAACTACATTAGAGCATCCTTATTAGTTCTACTTCATTAGTTCTACATTATCAATATGTCCAATGTCCGCATAACTACATTAGAGCATCCTTATTAGTTCTACTTCATTAGTTCTACATTATCAATATGTCCAATGTCCGCATAACTACATATTCTGTCTAAGTCGAATTCATTGTAATAGGTTTTTAGGGCGCTTCGTGTCCATCTTCTGTTTAAAACTTTAAATTTTGGCTCTCTCTGTGAGCATTTTATATTTTTACAAAATAAAAATAACAAAAAAGTTCGCGAATTTCACGAGTAAAGTATAAATAATAAATATAAATTTTAAACTAAAACGTAAAATATAAAGTCGTGAAATTATTTGTTATTAAATCTCATGTATTATTTCGGTTTATAAATTTTTGTACAATTTTAGAGAAAAGGTATGTCAGTCTGGTTGTACAGCCGGGAGTACATGAGAAGATACAAGCTCATATTTATGGTCATGTACACACGGACTCTTTCAGGTGAGAATGATATGTCGGCAGTAAAATATCTTTATAAAATGTGAAGTCAAAAACTGAAATATATATATATAAATACCTGTTTTGGGCCACACACCGCCCTTTTCTACGCCCCTGATGAAGACAAAAATAATTTGAAAATGTTTCCTGTCCCTGGATAAGAATTATGTCCCCCTATTATTACAAGTTTCCTGTCCCTGGATTAGAACTATGTCCCTCTATTATTACAAGTTTCCTGTCCCTGTATTAGCATTATGTCCCTCTATTATTACAAGTTTCCTGTCCCTGGATTAGAATTATGTCCCTCTATTATTACAAGTTTCTTGTCCCTGGATTAGAACTATGTCCCTCTATTATTACAAGTTTCCTGTCCCTGTATTAGCATTATGTCCCTCTATTATTACAAGTTTCCTGTCCCTGGATTAGAATTATGTCCCTCTATTATTACAAGTTTCTTGTCCCTGTATTAGCATTATGCCCCTCTATTATTACAAGTTTCCTGTCCCTGGATTAGAATTATGTCCCTGGATTATTACAAGAGTTATTACATTCTCTAGGAGACTATATAGGTCCTTTGCTAGTTAATAATTTATATTTGTCAGACTGGGAATATTTCCGGTTTTCAAAAAAAATTTCATCTTTTAGAGCGCTTCAGCTTTATTTTCTTATTACAATTTTAGTTTTTAAATGTTGCGCTTTGACCCGCCACTATTTATTCGTTCATCATAAGACTAAAATTCGCTGATTTTTCTGTCTTATTGAGGAACTTCCACAAAAAAATCAACATCTATTTTTGGCAACATTTTAATTTTGACAAACTCCTTCCCTGTGGTCAATTGAGTTATCACAAAATATTGGGCCCGGTGGGTTCAGCCGTTTTGACTCCAAAGAAGCCAATAACAGGCAATATTTATAGATAGATTATCCCTGATCAGAGCTGGGAACTTTTGATTTGGATACTCACAATCACAGATCTCTATATCCACTGTGGGCACTTATGATTTCATATCAGTTATTCCTCCAGAGTACAACTACCATGCCGGGGGGCATCGTATAAAGATTAAAATAATCTGCAGATTAACAAAAGATTGAGATCAAGCATTGGTTTTGATATCCACGATACCAGAGTTCCCATCTCAGATCTAGGAAATAAATTAGAATTTTGTTTCTCCAGATTGTTCGTGAGTCGGAGTGGAGATGATGATGTGCGAGGTGTTGGATATCTAGGTTCAAGTGGAACTCCGCTCCTTTACGATCATAATAAACCAATCGGAGTCAACCCAGGCCTTCGTCTTTTCTACTTAAATGTAAGTACTTAAAGTAGCAGAGTACGTTCCTTGTACGAACAAAGGCCGTCCTAATGACATACGTTTGGGGGGTGGGGGATAGCTCGGCCGCTAATGTGGAAGATATTGTCGATTTTCGAGGTTTAAATGATAGGCTAGAATGAAACCAAATGATAGACTAGAATGAAACTAAATGATAGATTAGAATGAAACTAAATGATAGACTAGAATGAAACTAAATGATACACTAGAATGAAACTAAATGATAGACTAGCATAAAACTAAATGATAGACTAGAATGAAACTAAAATTGTAACTTTTTGCCGAGAAACTTTTAACGGAAAGAAGCTAAAAACTTTACTTACATTTTTAATTTTTTATAATATTCATGATATGTGCTTCTAATACTTTTTTTAATATTTTTAAATGGAAAGGAAATGAAAACATTACTTACAATTCTAATTTTTTTATAACATTCTTGATATGTGCTTTAATACTTTTTTATATTTTTAAATATATAATAAAATAGATGCTTTTGCGAAGATATTTTTGACTTTGTCTATTCCTGAGGCCATCAACTATTAGGGTTAAATGGGGGGAAAATACACGCCACAAAAAGGACAAAAAAAACATTTTTTATGTTTGAATCAATTTTTTTCTTCTAATACTATTTTTCTCTCTTTAGTCTTTATATATTTATTTATAATAATGACTTTCCTAGCTTAGCTTTCTATTGTAAAAAATTTAAATGCAAGAAGATTTAATTTTTTAAATATCTCATTTGTTTAGGATGGTGGTGGTTTACAGGATTACTCTCAGTTTGGATTAGACCTGGAGAAGTTTAACCTGGCGGACCAGGATAAAAAGTAATTCGTTTTTATTATTTCCTATATTACTTGAAAGACTTTTCTCCTCTCCTTTTTGTAAAGTAAATACCGAAAAAAGTTTTATAAAAAATCTTTTGTTTAAGGTCTCGTCGTAAAGATCTGGATAACCCTACAATCCTGGACACTGACCTGATTAACCCTACAACCCCTGGACCGGACAGTATTGCCCTTGTAACCCAGAAACGGGAAAAAAGAGACTCTCCACGAAAAAAACGAACACTGAACCGAAGGAGACGGGATTCTCCCGCATTCCTAGACGGTTTACCGCCTTCAGATACAGAAAAGTAAGTTTTCCTAACTTATGATTTAGGAAAAAGTTTCAAGGTTTATTAATACCAAACTTTTTTTTTGATCGGGCATGAGTTTGAAGGAATAATTTAGAATCTTTTATCTAGAAAGAAACTTATTACTCTTCTTTTATACCTTTGCATCCTGAGGGTGGAATTAATAGATTTGCAATTATAGTTGAACTATATAACTAGATACGGATAGCTGATCTAGGTACGGATAGCTGAACTAGGTACGGATAGATGAACTAGGTACGGATAGCTGAACTAGATACGGATAGCTGATCTAGGTACTGATAGCTGAACTAGGTACGGATACCTGAACTAGGTACGGATAGCTGGACTAGGTATGGATAATTGAACTAGAATGTGCAAGAGTGTTCTAAAGAATTAGTTGAACTAGCAATACCTAGTTTAACTGGTTCTTGCTGTTCATACAGTCCAATCTCTGGTGTCGTCTACCTTTTATATTTCAAACTAATAAGTCTACTAGATGAAACAATCAAAGTTTAAACTCCGTCAGGTTGCAAAGATTTAGGAATAAGAAACTTAGAGTTTGAGTTTAGTGATCAGTTCCTATATTAGTTTTCTTAAAGGGACAGTCAGCGTATTTATTAGTTTTATCTTCATTTAAAGGATGTAATTATCTCATTTGTATTATTGTCTAGTGAAGGAATGGTGGGACCTCTCTCTGATATTCTGCTGAGTAAAAGTCCTCAACAGTTCGAGCAGGCAGCCAGCCTACTTCAGGATAGGTAACTTATTAACATAAAGGGACTGTAGAGCAGCCAGCCTACTTCAGGATAGGTAACTTACAATAAAGGGACTGTAGAGCAGCCAGCCTACTTCAGGATGGGTAACTTATTTACATAGAGTGACTGTAGGCAGCCAGCCTACTTCAGGATACGTAACTTAACATAAATGGACTGTAGGGCAGCCAGCCTACTTCAGGATAGGTAACTTATTATCATAAAGGGACTGTAGGCAGCCAGCCTACTTCAGGAGAGGTAACTTAACATAAAGGGTCTGTAGGGCAGCCAGCCTACTTCAGGATAGGTAACTTATTAACATAAAGGGACTGTAGGGCAGCCAGCCTACTTCAGGATAGGTAACTTAAGGGCAGCCAGCCTACTTCAGGATAGGTAACATAACATACAGGGACTGTAGAGCAGCCAGCGTACTTCAGGATAGGTAACTTACCATAAAGGGACTGTAGAGCAGCCAGCCTACTTCAGGATGGGTAACTTATTTACATAAAGTGACTGTAGGCAGCCAGACTACTTCAGGATAGGTAACTTAACATAAATGGACTGTAGGGCAGCCAGCCTACTTCAGGATAGGTAACTTATTAACATAAAGGGACTGTAGGCAGCCAGCCTACTTCAGGATAGGTAACTTAACATAAAGGGTCTGTAGGGCAGACAGCCTACTTCAGGATAGGTAACTTATTAACATAAAGGGACTGTAGGGCAGCCAGCCTACTTCAGGATAGGTAACTTAGCATAAAGGGACTGTAGAGCAGCCAGCCTACTTCAGGATAGGTAACTTAAAAAGGGACGGTAGAGCAGCCAGCCTACTTCAGGATAGGTAACTTATTTACATAAAGTGACTGTAGGCAGCCAGCCTACTTAAGGATAGGTAACTAAAGGGACTGTAGGGCAGCCAGGCTACTTAAGGATAGGTAACTTAACATAAAGGGACTGTAGAGCAGCCAGCCTACTTCAGGATAGGTAACTTAACATAAAGGGACTGTAGGGCAGCCAGCCTACTTCAGGATAGGTAACATAACATACAGGGACTGTAGAGCAGCCAGCGTACTTCAGGATAGGTAACTTACCATAAAGGGACTGTAGGGCAGCCAGCCTACTTCAGGATAGGTAACTTACCATAAAGGGACCGTAGAGCAGCCAGCCTACTTCAGGATAGGTAACTTACAATAAAGGGACTGTAGAGCAGCCAGCCTACATCAGGATAGGTAACTTATTAACATAAAGGGACTGTAGGGCAGCCAGCCTACTTCAGGATAGGTAACTTATTTACATAAAGTGACTGTAGGCAGCCAGACTACTTTAGGCTAGGTAACAATGGGGCCCTTTAAACATTCGTGTTGGCAAACGTGACGTTTCCATTTTTTCTGTCCGAAAATTGTTGTTTCTTTTTTAAATTGAATTTTCAAAATTCATCATGGTTTAGAATTGTTAAACTACGATACATTCCTCATTATTACTCAGATTAAAGTGAACCGATGTGGATTGGAAATCTAATTCTATGATTTGGGGGTTGTTTAAATTTACGTGGGCAGTTTGTACAATTTCAAATGATTGGTATTTTTTCAGCAGCACAAAGGCTAGCCTAGTGGAGCCCACTACTTCCAAAAATCTTCTGGGCTATCCCGGAGAAAACCCAAAAACATCCAATAATACCACCTCTGACGCAAAATCAAAAAAGCTTGGATATAACGGTGAAAACCCAACACCCGGAGACGTTACTCCATCCAAGAATACCACATCTGAAGCAAAATCAAAAAAGCTTGGATTTAATGGAGAAAACCCAACACCCAGAGACGTTGTATTGTCCAAAAATACCACCTCTGACGCAAAATCAAAAAAGCCTGGATATATCGGAGAAAACCCAACACCCGAAGACGTTACTTCATCCAAAAATACCACCTCTGACGCAAAATCACGGTTACCTGGAGACCTTGGTGAAAATTCAACGACTGATGCTAAACAAATAAATATCACCACTTCTACACCAGACGCAAATAACGCAATTGCTGAAGCAGGTAATGCTACAATAGACGGAAATACTGCAACAGCTGACGCAGATGCAGCACTAGTAGACGCAATGTCAGCTGAATTTATTCTGCTCTACAACGCTACTGACGCTTTTAATATCAAGGACTTATCTGCTTCTGAAATGGCAAAGGTAAATTTTTTTTTAATTACAGGAAAAATTATCACAATTAAACACCTTAACCTAAAACCTTAACTGTTTAACCGGTCTAGGGCTACCAGAATATGTTGGAGAATAGGAGTATGTTTAACCAGTATTACCTGCACAACACTGTAGATCATCTAATAGGAGATGGAGTTTGTGATGAAGTCTGCTTCAGGGAATATTCTATCTATCTATCAGTGTATTTGCACACCCTGTCCAGTAGTTCACTGTTAATATTCAGATTTAATAAGAACTAGCTGAAGTGCCCGGCGTTGTCAAGGTTACTTATAGGTACTTCCACCGTTTACCCGCGTATTGTCTGAAATCACGATGTTGCCCGTGTAATAAAAAAATGTCACCGTCTGGGTACCCAGGGGTTTCTTTAAAAAATTCAGACGTTTTGCCAGCTATATCGAACATGAACGAACGAAGAGCTTTTATTAGAGGAGATAGAGGATGATCTCTTTGCTGAAGAAAATGATAACTTTTCTCATATTCTAATTTTCTAATCCCTATATCGTTGCAACTTTAAAACTACTTAAAATATTACTATTAGATCAAGCAGAACTCTTAGTTTGAATTATAAAAGGCCTCGACGAGGTTGCAAAGATATTTGATTCGAAAATTTTTATTTTGACGAGAGTTCTTTCTTGATTTATTTTTTCAAGAAGTCGTGATATTTATCAGTTTGTTGTCGTCGTTATTCGTAGTTGGTAACGGCATTAAAATCTTTGATAGAATATAATATCATTCAGGGGTCATATGTGTTCCATCAAATTTCAAGTTTTTGAAGACGTCAAAACGTAAGTTTTTCATTAAGAAAATATATACCAAAGATTTTTATTTACTTTTATTTTCTTGAAGGTGTTTGAATTCTACTAGTGAGAGTATACTAAATATTGGTTTTTCAATTCCCTCTCTTGAACCTGTATCCACTACACCATCTACCACCACTGCGTCCTCAGCACCTGACTCTTCTCCACCTTATGCTTTTATAGCCTCCACTACTTCTTCGACAACCTCCACCTCTTCAACAACAACCTCCACTGCTACTTCGGAGGATACAACGATTTATGAAGAAGCCTCCGACAAATTTCTAGATAATGGAGATGTACTCTCCGAACCTGTTGATGTAAGTTAAACGTTTAATATTTTAAAAGAGCACAGGAGGTACCAGAGTTAAAAACTTTTAAATACGGATAAAATAGTTCGACTTATTGTTTCTCAACCGTTTGATAAATGAATTCTCAGGATTTGATTAAAGTTAACTCAAAGATTAATTAGAATATATAAAGCATAAGAGTAAGACAAAAGACATATTTAGGCTGCTTCTTCGAAATTAGTCACGAGATAGGTATTTAAGTTATTGTCTGTCCCTACTTCTAGTGTAGCCCAGGGATAAACGGCTACATCATAAGCAGTCCACCAGCTTCATTATGTACTCATAACGCTAGGCGGCCTTTTTTTAATTGGATATTTATTCTTCCTCAGTTTTCTCCTCCTAATCTGTCCTTGCTTAGTTGTACTTAGAAATTTTGATGTTTACCTATTAATCTAAACTGTCTGTATTAGTCAATATTTATTGAAACCTTTTATTGTCTTCATTTCCTGATATTATTGATTAATAAATTCAAATAATATTTTGGAGCCTTCTCACTTCCGAACTTCAGTCTCAAAATGACTTTACTAAATCAAGACTAAAGGAGAAAAAAATTTGTAAGAATAAAAATAATCAAGTTTTGTTTAGCCTGGGTTTGGTCGTGTGTCCTCTAAGGTTGCTGGTGTATTCCTGGGTGTATCTGGATCCATTATTCTTCTACTCATCCTTGGCTTCGCATACAGGAAATATAGAAACAACAGGTAGGGATGTGCTTTTTGTTAAGTTGTTTTTGGGTTGTTTTTTGACTATATTTTCTGTTAGGGTCAAAACTTGCCATATTTGAAGAAGTTTAATCAAAAAAATTATTCTAAACATTTGGTTTCTTAAATTATGTCAAATTTTTACTTTGGCTTCGCGTTCTCCTACAGGAAATATAGAAAATGGCAGACTTCAATTATCTTTTAGTGCTCAGAACTTTTGAATTGACAGGATGAGTTGATCTTGATAAATTGATATCCGCCAAAATTTTACAAATGCGATTTAATCCCCACTTTTGAGAGTTAAGCTCAGAACTTTTGATTTATGGAGCTAATTGAACTCATTTTATTAAGTTGCCCTTGTTTGGAATTAATGAATGTCGCCAAGTAGTTGAGCTACAGAGGTACACACTGAAAAGACGACCTGAAAGCATTAAAATAAGACGATCTCAAGGTTAAATTAAACATTCTGTCTCCAATCAACGAATAAAGTCCTTTAATTAGTCGTCTTCAAAATCCGTACAGTCGTCTGTAAATTTCATCTTTTGTGGGTAACCCTGAAGGTACCGGGAGCTGGAGTAAGTTTTAAAAGTAGGTCAAACTGCCAAACCTAGTTCAATCCCTGTTAATTAATCTTAAACTTTTATGCCTAATGCATTTAATATCTTTAGGCAACGAGATCAAGAGTTTCTGCTGACGGACTCAGTGTTCCGCTATGACGGCTATAGTCAACTGGACGACGATTTTTAAAGGACTTATGAAGTTTTATAAAATCTGGCTGAGTGTTAGTATCCAGTGTCAACTGTATCAAATTAACATTTTTTACAAACAAATTTATGTAACAATTTCATTAAAAACCTGGTGTGTATTTTTGGCAAAGGCACATTCCCCATTTCCCCCATTCAAAGCAAATCAACGATTATTAGGACGGAGGATGGAAAGAATTCACTGGCTGGGTTAAAGTATCAATTATGCAATTTAATGTTAACTTTGATTTTCTTTTTCCTGAAGCTTAAAAAATGATTATTTCTTTATAAACCGTCCTTATGTGAGGATTTATTTCCATCCAGCCTTGATATGACAAAATGGTCATTGGAAAATATTTATTACAAACCACTGGTGAAGCATGTTAGAAGGTTCTACAAAAGTTATTGGTTGTGTATCCAAGGGCATTACATCATAGCAGTTAGTGGTGCCCAAGATTACACCTAGGCTGAGAATAGATTAAATGATGAAAATTCCCATTTTGCTAAAGCTGAGAGTTTTGTAAGAAAATATATTTTCTTTTTCGATTTACTCTTTTTTTTTACCATTTTTTAAGCGTCATTTCAAGTGACCCTTCATACCAAAATGGCAATGCCCGATTCACAACAGTACCCTTACACAAACCTTAATCTGATAAAAATGTGGAAGACATTCGAAAAGTGTTTATTTCCGGAAGTTTCTTTTAATCAAGAAATGCACAAGTCACTTTCGCAGAGAAACTTTTTAAAGGAACAAAAACATTGATATCTAATTCATACTTAATCAGACAAAGCTTTCAATGGTGGTACCGTTGTAAATCGGGCATTGCCATCTTTGCATGGAGGGTCACTTAAATACACGCTTACAGTCCCTATTATTGAATTCCATAATTGTCATATGTTGTCTAAGTTTATGGAAGATTAAGTTCCTTGTAAAAAGCAAGAAAATTGAAGTCAAATTATTGTAAATATCTTTAATTAAAGATACTTAGTGTTTTAATGGTGATGGGTAGAAAATCGGGTGTTTTCTTTAAAAGGGTCCTAACTGCTTATCGATCATGTTTTTACAGATATTCATTCTTTGAAACTTAATCTTAAAAATTTGCAATAAAAACTTTCGGCAGTTTCCCTTCTCCAGAATAAAATATATTTATATATTTGCATTCAACTTTAAAAGAAAATTGCGTAGTATGTTTAACTTTAACTATTTGCCAACGTGTGAGTGTTCTACGTATCACATCTATTTTTGCGTTTTTCACATTTTGTTTTATATTTTTGTTGGTCAAACAAACGTTTGAATCTTGACTTAAACAGAATTTTAATTGCCTTTGAAACTTGTAACATTTAAAGCCTCACACACATGCAGTTTTAGTCTTAAATTCCAAGCTCAATTTTTAGAGAAAAATTTCAAAGCCTCTTGTCCCATTGTATTTATAATAATCTATATATATATACCAGTGTATTATTTGTAAATTATATCATACACACTACACAGCTCAACTGCTACAGATTTTTTTGGTTAGTTTTTTAAAATTCAAGGCTTTTACTTTTAAGCGGCTCCACTGACAGGAACTAGTTCAAAATGGCAATATTTTAATTTTTGTTCTAAAATGTAAAAAAAATGTAGCTAAAAGGAAAACGAACAAATATTTCATTTTGATTTAAAGAAATGGATTTTGTGGAGCCTCAAAAATCCTTGAGCGTAAACAAAATAACCAAAAAAATCTCTCATCACTTTACACAGCGCACCAGTGCTTTTGTAATTCCTGGGCTATCATTATTTGAAAATTTTATTTGCGATTGCACAATCGACTCCAATTAGGTCTGTGATAATTGACACTTAAAAATGTCTAGTATTGGCTGTATAGTGTTAATCTTGAATCAGAAATAAAAGAAATTTTATGTAATAATAATAAATTTGAGGATTATATCTCAATTACTGTAATATAGTATCACACTGTACATATATAATCATGTGAAGCATACTGTTTCAGTTTTAATAAAATATTTTCTATTCATATTCTTTTTATGTGTATTGTGTATTCATACAATTTTACAATTTAGATATTTACATCAAACTCGGTTGAGTAGTAAACCTGGGGTTTACAAATGTTCAAATGTTGATTCCAAACTTGATTGTTCTGTATTCTCTAATCTTCTGTGTTGAAGCTTGTGCCCATCTTTGTTTATAATCTTGGGGATATGGTTTAGCTCGTCCTACCCTTGGGTAATATTCATCATATCTTTCATGGTAGGAGACAAGCTTACAACAGGAATCATCTGTGTTCTTTGTATTAAACCTAAAATATGATTAGAATGGATTTCATCAGTTGAAAAAATTCAAGGTTAGACGACAAGGGTCTTTGTATTTGTAACCTTTTTGTGATAAATAATTTTATCTAAGATTCATTCTTTTTGGAGAGCACTGCATCAAGTAAATAACTTCAGTGAAATCATAAAAATGTCTTTCTTACCTAGAATAATTTCCTTTATATTATACCTGATATCATTTACAGTCTCTGGAAGTGGATTATTGATGGTTTCTGGTAAATACAGAGCTGTCATAGAACTAAGGATTCCCAGTGTTCCAAGGATAAAATTTAGCTCTTGTCCTCCTCCACTCCCAACACAATACTGAATAAATAGTTCAAGACATCCACTAGCAACCCAGGCTACAAACACAAAAAGTGATAAAGCTTGGTTTCTAATCGATGTTGGATACAGCAACATTATTGAAACATGCATTAAAGCATTTCCTCCAGCAATCGCTGCTTTCCCTAATAAGAAGAGAATTGTTCTATGTCTATCTGTGATGGAGAGAAGAATAAGACTTGATCCTGCCACAAACAAGAGGAAGCCAAGAAGAGGTCTTCGGCCCCATTTTCCCACCACCAACAAAACCAGCAGATAGGTTGGTATTTCAATAATAGAGGATACACATCTGAATTAAAGAAAATTCTTAATGTAAGGATAAAGAAACATATAGAAACTGCGGAGAGACCCATAAAGCTATAGAATAGAAAAACTATATTTTAGCATTATTACATGTATTTATGTCTATCATGTCAAAAAGCAAATGGTTTAAAAACTAGCTTTATAAACAGCGTATGCGAAACGGATCGGCGTAGACAGTAAAATATTACTGTTTTTCATGGTTCCATAAACTTAAATATAATCAGAGAAATACCGTCGTTCTGTTCTTCCACAGTTTAATGGGTCATACTGTAGTAATGAATAGCAATAATTCAAATCGACCAACATTTACATTATCACTAACTAATTATAGTTAAAGGGACTTAAGGGGGAATGGACCAAACCTCTGTAGAGGAAAAAAGTAGATGTTAGTTCACATTTTATTGAAAATATATTTCGGTCTGGGTTAACCCTCGTCACTCGTCAGTTCTTGAGAATTTTCTGTCATAAAGACTATGTGGCCCTCCGTTCAAAGATGACTATGCCTGATTTACAATGGTACCCTTGAAAGCTTTGTCTGATCAAGTATGAATCAGATAATATAGTTATCTATGTTTTTGTTCACATTAAAGGTTATTTCTTTCGTTTTCTCCTCAAAAATGACTTGCGAATTTCTTGCTTTAAAAATATAATAGAGAAATTATCAAAAGTAAGCATTTTTTGAGTCAGAAAACATTTTTGACCAGATTAAGGTTTCAGGGGTACCATTATATCGGACATTGCATGCGCTCTAATCATGGACATTTCACTTACAGATCCTTTGTGCAAATTTAAATCTGAAATAAATAAGAGCTTGTAAATTAACTCTTTTAATTCTATAAATTTAAACTGAAAAAATACTTGCCTGAAATTGAAAACATTGCCGAATAAAGGAGACCAAGAGCTGAAGATCAGTTCCATGACTGTATCGAAGCAGAAGTCGGTGTAGCAAACACCAATACTAAGGAAGAGAAAGTTGACAGTATAGTACTTCAGATAGGGGCCAAACATGTCAGTGAACGTGTACATCACACTGTGATTATGCAGATATTCAAGATCATCAGATGCATGAGGATCAGCAGCAGCTTGTGGAACAAATGCTATGCCTTGATCATCAATCTCATCCTCAGAACTCTCATCACTCTCACTAGGTTTTGGTACTTTAGTAAAGAATTTAGCTCCAGATCTCGTCAAGTTCGAAATGGCCTCTTTGTGCCTCCGTCTTATTATTTTCCAGTTTTTCTTCCCATTCAATTCTTTTTCTGGAATCTCTTCAGAGATTGAAGTCGTCCCAGATGATGTCTCAGAATAAGCCATATCTACTGGCTTGGCTTCAGTTCCCGTTTCCAACCCTTTGGCAATCTTTGTATCTTCTCGTGCAACTGCTCTCAGATTTGTTGTCAAATTTTTCAAATTCTCAATTTCTTTTATGGCCGCTATCTCTTCTACGGTAGCGTTGGTTTCCACTATCTCGTTAACTAGGAGTTTGGCTTTTCCATATTTCTTCATCATCAAAAGCCATCGTAGGGATTCAGGGACTAGATAGTAAACAAATGGAAGTATCCACAGGGTGAAGATTGTAAAATAGAGCTGGGCCTCCCGCCATCCACGATTTGTGACCGCCAAGCCAGAGATTGAGCAGATAGCATGACCGAGGGCAAAGGGTAAAGGATACAGGATTCCTACCAGATCTATGGGACCAATCCAGTAGAAAACAGAAAACCTACGACTTGACCAAATCATCTCCATGGAGTAGCAGAATGCAACGTAGTAGCAACCTGCTGGACCAGCATTCATAAAGAACCAAATCACTGAATAACTTATAAACTCGGGCATCAGGGACCCAAGAATAGAAGATACAATTGTGATTAAGACTGAGACGATTATTGCGTTTCTTCTTCCAAATCTATCAGAGATGACACCAATACCTAAAACTCCGACCCCGTTTCCGATGCATTGGATGAATTTGAGAAGTTGGAAGTAAATTTTCCTGCTGCAGATCAAATTGAACTCCGTAACAACAGTCTTCGTCAGTCCAACATAGTTATATTCGTATGTCGAGTTGGTGGTACATTGATAGAAATCTCCACCCTTTGTCACATTTTTGATCATTCTACACAGGCCGTTCTCATCAGGAATAGGTTTGTTAATACTGCAATGATCGGGAACTCGGATTACAATGACCTCTCCCAGCGGAGAGAATGACGAACTAAAATCTCGTGTCTGGAAAACTCGTTTTGTAATGTTATTATTCTGAATTATTTCCTGAAATGACGGCGTAATCTTTTGGCACTCTGAGGGATAGCAGATTGCCGCCCCTGGATTTAACTGAGTGATGTACTGTAAACTAGAGTGATAACCCATCAGAAGAGGAGGTGCCCACAAGATTAACATCAATCTTATCTGCCATGGTCCAAAGCGACCAATTATTTTGCTGGTTTCATCGCCCATTTTAATACTCTGAATGGCGCATTTTTCGGAAAACGTTTGCGCATTTTCTAAACTTAATTATTATTTTTCTTCTCTATAATACATTCTCTTCTTTTCACTTATCTTTTCTTCCTAATTAATAAAGAGATCTTTCCGTGATTCATTGATTAATTATATTTTGTCCGAATTTATTGATTTTTATAAACTTGTAAGACGCGGCAAATGCGCAGGTCTTTCGACAACACAGCAAAAGTAATTTAGTAAATTAAAAACTTTACATAGGAAATTATAATCGCTAAAGCCAATTAAACAAAATTTATTTTACCTTTTAAGTTTAGAAACAAAGCAATTTATAGACTATGCAATGGACAATGTTGAAAAAGTAGCATTTGCTGCTAGCGGGAGTTCAGGCGACAGATTTCAACAGAATGAACTTCAAAAACCCCTACAAAGCTCTAAAATGGACAAGGAGAATCAAGAGAAATTTGATAAACCTGTTTCCTTTAAAATAATAGTGCTCGGAGAGTCAGGAGTAGGTAAAAATAATAATATTACTAATCATGAAATATTAGATTTTTTAAAATTATTTATGTCGTATTCGAAAATGACACTTCAATCATGTTTTGTAATAATAACTATTAAACAATATTTGAAGAGAATTATTATTTCTTGAATCGTTTTCATTAGTTTTTCTGTTTATTAGGGAAGACCTGTTTATCGTTCCGGTTCTGCGCCGGCCGATTTCCGGTCTCCACAGAAGCGACGATAGGTCTCGACTTCCGGGAGAAGGTTTTAGAATTAGAAGGATCTAGAATTAAACTTCAATTGTGGGACACAGCGGGACAGGAGAGATTTAGGAAAGGACAACTAAATTCATTAAATCTTGGATTTTAGATAATATCATAAGTATTTCTCCAAGGCCAAGGGTGTATAATTTAAGAGTTTCCCCCCTACCCCCCTATTTTCAGGATCGGGGGGGGGAGGGGGGGATAAAAAGGTTTTTCATACGTATTACCTATAAATTTATTTATTTTGATGCTATATCGATTGGCCTGAGAGCCGATTGTACTAACGTTCAATTGGACTAAAGTCAGCTGTTAACAAACTGACTTTTAGTCTATTTGATCATTAGTACATATGAACGAAAAAAAATATTTTTTTTTCTCCAAAAATTCAGTAATAAACTTTAGCCTTTCCTAACCTCAGCGCTCGGCCCAGAAATTGTCTTAACCAAACCCACAAATATTAAGATTACGTCATGTCCTTTTTTGTCTTAAAATACTTAAAACTTGATGAGGTAATTAGAAAAATAAGTTCAATAGAACAAATATTTGTTCAAAAAGACTAAAGTCCTATTGAACGTAAGTCCAAATGAACATTAATCTTAACGAACGTTAGTCCAATCGATCATACCTTTATTTTCCTCTAAAAATCATTCATTTTTTCCCTATTCAGTCAATAAAGCCCTCAATAAATTCTGGGGGAAAATATTTTCAGGGGATTCTGAAAAATAAGCTTTTGATGTTCTAAACGACGGCCGAAGATAATGTGTTTTTTTTCGTTTGTAATCTTGGCTGTTTTCTTTTAAACTTTAACGAGTTACTTTCTATCACAACCGAATTCGGAGATTGTACAAAGATTTTTTAATAATTGGTATTTATAGAAAGAACTGAATTGTTCATAGAAAGAACTGAATTGTTCTTAAGAATCTGAAAAAGAAGGGCCCATTCCAATTTCGTAAACTGCTTCTTTTTATTTGAATTTACTGTTGATGTTTCCCAGAAAGTCGGTAACTCATCACTACTATCGTGGAGCTCAAGCCATTGTCCTTGTTTACGACGTCACGAGCAAAGCGAGTTTAATCAGCCTCGAGCACTGGTTGGTAGAGCTGGAGGACCACGGGATAGGACCCGAGGTTCCCAGGGTCCTCGTCGGCAACAAGTGTGACGAGGCCGGGACCGAGGTCAGCACGACCGATGCACAAAGATGGGCGGATGACCGCGGAATGCCGCTGTTCGAGACAAGTGCCAAAGACGATTCACAAAGTGATCACATTGAGTCAATTTTCCTCACTTTGGCGCATAAACTGAAATCCGGGAAACACCTGATCAGGTTTGAAATAATTTTAATTACAATCCTTGATTCTCGATTCAGTTTTTTAATCACACCAGGGTTGTACACCCTAGCGTTGGTTTCCACTATCTCG